TGTTGAAGGTATATATTCAGTGTAAAGTAGCTACTATAGATTGTGTTTGTGATTTCTTTTTAATAGGAATGTCAAAGGGTAATACTTCTTTAACATTTGAACTGATTAAATCTGGAGATTTAGGTAAAAGAATTAGTTGTATTTGTATAGCTATATTAACTGCTTTATAAATTTTTGTTTGGTTTAGAAGCAAAGTATCTTTAATAAACCTTTTATAGTATTTGATTAGACTAGTAATCTGTTTTGCCTTATTTGTTACAAATTTAATGTTTGTAATAAAATTGATAATTAGTTTTTGCTAAAGTTTAAGATGAATTGCATCACTTGTTTCTCTATTAGTAACAGATAGATTATACATTTACTTATATTTGTCAAGTGCTTTTGTAAATAATTTTTTATATTCTATTTAGTATAAGCTCATGAATTTTTTGTTTTTTATGAAGGTAATAAAAAATTTAGTATTTCAGTATCTGAATTTTGTATTGATTGCAATAGGTAAGTTGATATCAGTTGTGATTAAATTCAACTTATAAGTTACAAATTTTGTAATGCCTTCAGTTGATGTTAGTATTTCAAGAATATTATTATAATTCTATATGTTATGATTAAACTCTTCTTTTATTTTTGCCTCAATTACTTTATCTATTTTCATTTGCTATCCTCTTAGTTTACTAGAGTTGAGAAGATTAATTATATCTATGCTTTTGTTAGAAAACCCTTTAACCATATTGCTATACGAAATATAGTTACTTTATGCTTGATCTGATATGTTATAATTAGTTAACTGATAATCTTGTACAAGTAAAATATAACTTAATATATTTGTATCCTGATTAGAGATGACTATTTCTATTTCAGTATTGTTATATATCTGTTTGTTTATGTTAGATTTCTGCATGTGATGTGTTGTTGTTGTTATTTCTTATATAACATATGATGTAATATTATAATCTAACAGAGGTGAGCTAGATTACTCACTTTTTGTTAAAGGATTCCATCTGTAGTAGATAAAGAAGAAGTTTTTTGCTTTTTAATAATTTTAGAAATATAGATTCTATCTTGAGTTTCTTTTGAACTATATTTTTTCTTGTTAGCTATACTTATATCCTAGTTTGAGTAGACTTGAAGCCTTGTAGCCTTTTTTGTTACTGTTGAGAGTTAGTGATTTTTGTTATCAGTAGTATTTCTGTTTCTTTTTGTTATTTTGATTATTCTATACTTAAAATATATAAGACAATAGTCTTCTACTTCTGAGAGAACAAATTAGTTTTGGTAGTAGATATTAGCTAGCAAATATAATTATTTAAAACTTTATATTTTTGTTGTTTTTTTTATTTTTTATCAAAATTGAGATGTGTAGGAAAGAGTTTTTTTTAATAAATTATCTTTATACTTACTAATTAGATAAAATGATTTGAAGGTTATCTGTTATTAGATAATTAATTAATTGTAAATAAGTATTTAGAGTTTAGTATTCATAAATAAAGTATTTATACTTATGATTTTAATTCTACTAATTAGCGTTAATACTCAGAAAATAAAATATATATAAAAAATCAAAAACATAAAAAATTCAGTACAAATTGCATTAAAATTTAGAATAGGTATATAAAATAGTACTAAAAAATACTTTATCATTATCTCCTTAGCTATCGATCTAATACAAGAAACTGAACTCAAACTAATACAAAATACAAAACTTAGTACAAAATTAGCAATGCAAAAAGTAAAATGATTATATAGTATAAATAAAAAAAGTATAGCTACTAAATTAATAAAAAAAAATGATTTGACAAAATTATAAATCTCTAATTATAATAATTGTACATATATCATTTCATTAAATCATTAATTATGAAACCCTCTACTACATATGTAGTTTTAAATTTTCTTTATTTGGGATCTATGCAGTATTTGTTTATTATGCTTATTAATTAGTCATTAATTACTTTGTTATGATTACTAAGGTTATTATTAGCTTGAATAGTTAGCTTTGTTTAAAAACTATAATGATAATTTCATTATATTATATAGTACTTTATTTTAGTACTACTCACTTTTACTAGTAATTATTTTGTCAAAAATTCATTTAGCTGACGTTAAAGTAAATATTTTTAGTAAATTTTTACCTGACATAATATTAGCTAAATGATCATATGTACTATGATGCAAATAATAAAAATTCTTATACTATAATGCAATTATAGATCTAACAACAATTTTAAGCTACAATATTACTGTTACTAATTGCTTTTAATTTAGTGTAGTATTTTAAATTATTCTACTATAAATAATAAATAACTTATTATATTTACTATGAGTTAAATTTTATTAGTATATAATAATTAATTTATTATTATTATTTGAATATAAGTCAATTACTATGTTACTTTGTATTAATTGTTAAATTTTAAAAATTTTATAACAAATCATTTATAATAAAAGAATAAAATTTAATTAGTAGATTTATTACAACTAAGCTACATATAATAACAATAAATTTACTCAATTTAAATAAAATAATAGTATATTTTTTTATTATATATTATTTAAAAGAATAATTATCATCAATTACAAATTCAATTAGCAGAATTAAGTAGCAAAAGTGATTTGAACAGTTTAGATAATTTTGAAATTTTACCTAGTAAAGATGAAAAAACTGAAGAAACTATTATAAATACTATTTTTCAAAGACATTTTCAACAATTACACATATCTACTTTAAATACTATTTCTATACCTAAATTGAATTTTTAGTATAAAAATATTCTTTTTAATTATGATAAAACAAGATTTTAAATAGTATTACAAATGAATAAACAAACCTTTTTAATGCTTATAGACATAATTAAAAATCATATAATTTTTAGTAATTAACAGAGATCTGTTGAATTACAGTTCTCTGTTACTTTATCTTTGTTAGGTCAAAAATCTACCATCTGGGATATTACAACATGATTTTGTATTTCTAAAGATTTAGTTGTTAAATATACAACTTATATTATTAAAGCTATTCAAGCTTTACGATCTTAATATATTATTTGGCTATGTGAAGACTATAAAAGACAAGTTCATCAAGGCTTTACACAAATACAAAGGTTTTCTAATATAATTAGTATTATTAATAGAATTTATATTAATTTGTTTAAAGCATCTAGTAAGCTAAATAAAGATATTTATATTAGTAGAAAAAAGCATTATGCAATTCATGTTTAGGATGTTATAAACCATTTAGGTTATTTTATAAATTACAATATTAGATAATTAGCATCTGTACATAATACAAAAGTTTTTTCTAATTTATCTTTATATATCTAACAATATGATCTCTTTCAAAACATTAATTATATTTTGGCTGACTCAGTCTATTTTATTTCGAAAATATGTATTCCTTTTTTTAAAATATCTAATCAATGACAAATTTTGTTTAATTAAAAACATAATAAAACTTGTATTATAGTAAAACAGGTATTTGGCAAGTTAAAAAATAGATTTCAATTTTTAAATAAGATACGAACTAAAAGAACTAAACTTGTTATGAAGTTAATTGATATCATAATAATTTTTTATAATATAGTAAAAAAAATAATGATATTTGAGAATTACCTATACAAACACAAATAAGAACTAGAAATATAAGATTTGTGAATAATATAAATAGAAACTATTATCATAGACATCAACGTCAAAGAGAAAAAAATAAAAGCATGATAAAACAGCAAAATTTAATAGATATTATTCTTTAATTAATAATATACTATTTAAATACTAATAAGATCTCTAAAATATTATACTTTACGAATAATTAAATTTATTAATATTAGCTATAGTAAATAAATAGAAAATTTATTAGCTCATTAGCTATATCAGCCTCTTTACTTATACTCTATTCTAAATTAGTCTTATTGTATAATATATTTTTACTTTACTTCTAAATTAGTACTAGAATCTAAGTTAATATAATATGCTTATAATACAAAAACTTGTATCTACAAATCTACTAGTTTTGTTAGTTTGAAAAGGCTCACTATTTAATTTTATTAATATAATTTTAAACTAGTTTAGTAAAAAAAAATAATAATAAAGAAGAAAGAAAAAATAAAGAAAAACTTTTAACTATATTTATATTAAATCAAGTTTTTAAAAATTTATTATATTAAAAAACTATATTCTTTTTAATATAAAAATTTTATATTAAATTTTTTTTTAGTTTTAAAAAAATTTTTTTAATTAATTAAATTTTATTAATTTATAATATAAAATTATGTATATAGTAATTTTCTAATGTTTATAATTATATAATAAGTATATATTTATCTATTTAATTATTATCTATTTAAGTAATTTATATTTAAATAACAAATTATTTATTTATTTTATACTAATTACAAAATATATTTATAATTTATATATGAATTATCTATTTAAATACTTTAATTATTAATTAATTTATATCTATTCAAACTAATATTTTTATTATATCTAACTGTTTAAGTTAGTTAACTTGCTTATAAATTTATTTATTATATAATTTAAATTTTTTTAATACTTTTACTAAAATGTACCTATAGTATTTTATATCTATATATTTAATATATTAAAATTAACAAATTAACTAGTAAGAAGTAGTTTAAGTAAAAATATTTTATACTCCAAAACTTTTTCTTAACTCTAAATCTAGCCTTAAGTAAAAAAATTTTTGCTTAAATATTTTATATAAAAAATTTAGAAAAACTTATAAAAATATAAAAAAATATTATTAAAATATATAATAAGTACAAAATTACTACAGGTATATTTTATAATAAATGTTTTTTAAACTATATTTTACTTTATATATTATAGATATATAAAGTTTTAATTAATTTTAAAAGTAAATTTATTAAAATAGTCTATATTTATTTTATATAATATCTGAATTTTTTTTTCTTTTGATAGTCTTGTTATAAAACTTTATTAAGTAATTAAATATATAAATATACTACTTTTTTTTTTTTTTTTTTTTTTATAATACCAAAGTAGAAACTTTATTAATTGAAATTATAGAATTAAGTCTATGTATAATAGTTAAGATTTCTAAAATATTTGTACTATATTTTAGATACCCAATGTGATATTACACCTTCTATTTTTTGAAGAAGCTAAACTAATTGTTTTAAATTAAATTTAGATTAAGAATAGGTTAAAAAAAATCTTAAGGTATTAGTCTTAGCATTATTAAATACTTGTAGTAAGAGAATATTTATATAGGAACTAATTTTTAGTCAAATTAGAGATATTCAATAGAGATTATAGTTGAGTTATTTGAGGTAGATTTGTTGAGGATAAAGTTGAAAAAGGAACTTTTTTCTTTTTAGCTTTTAGTGTTATATTTTGAGCTGTTTCTCATTGATATTAATAGATATTTCTTTAAATCCAAATCTCTTGATAAAACTAATCAAGTATAAGATTTGAGAGCTTTGTAAGAAATATTTCTATAAGATTATATAAAGAAGCTTTAAGATTATCAAAAGTGGTTAGTAGATAGTAGCTAATAATAGTATGAAAAAGAAATAAAGAAATATTATTTGATAAATATAATGAAGATGCTAAAAGAATATTTAGAATTTGTTGTAAAGATATTGGATTAAGTTTGAGATTTAGGAGTATATCTTGAACAGTATTTGTTAATATTTTGTTGTTATTATGAGAAGTAAAAGGGCAAGAGAAGAGATGTAGTATATTTTCAAGATTTTGGCATCTTGTACAGTTAGATATTGAGTAAAGGTAAGGATAGCGAATAGAAAGATTTTGCATAGTAGGAAGGTTGTTTGTGATAATTTTAGTATAGAGTAAATATTTATATAAATTATCTTTCAAAGAGTTTATTATAGAGAAAATAATTGACTATTTAGGTTGAGGAAGATTTTAGAGATATTTAAATTAAGAGAAGTTGTAGATTTCTTTAATAGTTATTATATTTTTGATAAAAGTTCAAAGTTTAAAAAGAATAGTATATTGTTGTTATTAGAAATAAATTGGAAGATTTAGTTTTGTAATATCTATTGATATTATTGGTTTGGAAGTTTCTTATTTGGCTAGTAGATCTGCTTGATTATAGAGGTCATTTTTTGAATGAGATTTAACTTTGTGAATGATTAATTGAAGATATTTTTTTGTTATTATTTGATCAATAATGAAAATTATATCCTAATTTTTCTCTCGAGTAGTGACAGTATTGAGTAGAAGTTTTAGATTATTAATAGCTATTGTATTATCAGTACAAATATTAATAGTTGAATTGAAGTGAATAATTAATAGTAAATATAGTATGGCTTCTATTTCTGTTCTAGAAGTATTAGGATAAGGAAAAACTGCTATATTGAAATAGATATCTGCATAGTTTTTAGAAATCTAAGCAATTCTAGCTTGAATTTGTAGAGTTCTAATATTTTTAATTGAGGCATCTGTATAGAAATAGAGATTGTTAGAATTTTGATTTAAAATTTTATAATAAAGATTAATTAATTGGTTTTGATATAGAGAAGATTGAATATAATCTTGAATGATTTGTATATTATAAGGAGGAAGAATAATTTGTGAAGAGGTTAGATTTTGGTTTAGTAGTATTAATTGATATTGTTGTTAAATTTTGATTAGAGCAAGAATTTCTTTAATATCAATTTGGATATTATATAGATTATCTTTTTTGTAGATTTTAGAACTAGAGATATTAATAAAGTTTAAGGTCTGGTAATCTTAGTATAGTGGTTAGGTTGCCAGATTACTATGTAAGAGATCTGGAGTTCAAATCCTACTGTCGACAAATTTGAATAATTACTCAGACCTTTGTATCCAAGTTACAGTAAATCTTATCTATTTCTGGGGTCATAACTCTGTAAATCATATTGCACCAATATCAATCGGGTATTGAAAACATAATGGAAAAGACAAGTATGATATAATATTATATGAATAAATCTTGATAGGATCTACGAGCAGAAGACCTGCATGGTAGAAATCCCAAGTTAGGTGATGTAGTATAGATTTTAACAGTCATACCAGTTTGACACTTGATCTGAAAGAAGTCTAGGTATGAAGAATGCAGACTAAGTAGGTGTAAGTAATTCTATAGAGTATCAGAAAAGTCAAGTGTAATGTAATGCTATACGAATAGCAACACCAACTTGGCTTAGTGGCTAACTAGATTTGGAAGGATCTATTTCATGAAATATTCAGAAAAACTAGACCAATTTGGTAGAGAGCTATGGAAGAAACTAAGTTCGTATAAATACTAATAAGGGTATATGCTAGCTTAATTGGAATATAGTATAGCATAGTTGGAGTCATCTGTAAGCCCTCATCAGAATAGGATACAAGTAGGTACCTTATGATAGGACCTAGTTCTATGAAGACAATTTGAGCTGCAAGTTGGTCTGAGTAGTTCTTAAATGAGGTAGTACAAGATTAGCGTAGATATATAAATATTAGGTTAAAAATAGAGTTTCACTGTGATACCAGAGAGTTTAAATAGAGTATCTACAGGCAGATGCTAGATATAGCAATTAGTAGGTAACCTATATAGCAGAACCTGTAAATAGACAATGACTAAAGTTGTATGTGTAGCTAATTGTATCTTTACTAACAAATGTAACTTGAAAATAATACTTAATAAAAATCTGCGAACAGCTTGTTGAAAAATAAAAAAAAATAAAAAAAATAAAAATAAAGTATAAGTTAGAAGTTAGAGTTAGTGATGAGTTTGTAGTTATATTTGT